TAACTGAAATGGGAATCACACAAAATTGTATTATAATTTGAATGATAATAATAATAAAATCTATCACGGGAATTGGCGTTTTTTGTTATTGCGATAGAGTTGTTATACCATAAAAAAATAAAATTCTTTTTGGTCCTTTATGATTGGGTTGCCACCAGTAAAGTGATCCGAATGAGATCCATGTGTCTAAATAAACTGTAATTAACTCTTGTCGTTAACACTTGATAGTCATATTTGACGGTTGTTCAGGACGGCGATTTCGCACCAATAGCGTCGCAGATCTCCCATCCTTTATATAAACGGCTGTCAAGTCGATCATTTCGAACAGTGCATCTTCGAAAGTTGCTCAACAAGCCATGTGCACTTTCCATAGGTTTGGTCCTTTTGTTAATACCAGCATCCATGAACTCCAAACTGACCAGAAGGCAATGAAATTGGCTATAACTAAGCATTGGTAAATCATGACAACAAGATATTTCCCTCCCCCCACCCCCACCCCCACTAAAAAAAAATTACTGCTAGAAATCATTTCGTGTTCAGAACACCCCATTAACCTAGTATGATTATAACCACCTGCAAGAATTCTACTGACCCCAAATATCAGTTATCTTCTACACTTCGACGCATTGTAAACATTTTGGAAGAGATCCATCGTGTTTGAAATGACTTTTTTTCGTATTACATGTTCAGACCACATTTCAAGGCGGTGAACAGTTAATTTTTCGTATTGGGTCTTGTATTTTGAATTTAGAACTATCGTTTGTTAGAAAAGAGGGATATTTTCTGTTATTTATAATGACGAATAGTAATTTGATAACCGAGTGTCAGACTTGTGGATAAGGGCTTGGATTATCAACGGATGATACAGTTGACAATATCGTCAGCTAATTTGAAAATGAAAATGAAATATTACAAAAAYATTTATAAAATTTCTTGGGAAAATTTTGACACAATAGTTCAAGTTCCTTTTTCCGGCCAACTGAGCAAATTAGTTATATTTTTGTTTTGGTTCATTAAAGAGAAGCATGTTTAAAATTTTTTAAATTTCTTGACATTTTATTTTCTTCTTCCGTTTTTTCTTCCGTTTTTGATTATTTTTCTTTTTCAAAACACTTGATTTATTAAGTTTTTTTCCACAAGCACCGTATTCTTGTTAAGTAGTTTTGTTATTGTAAATTGTAGAATCTCTTGAACTGAACTCGAAGTTTTTGAGGGCAACTCTCGCTGATATTTTTCTTTTAGTAGTTCTCTTTATTTTTTTATCTTATTCATTCTTCGTCCTCCTCTTCCACTTGTGTCTTCATTCTTCTCTTTTCATCCTTGATCTTTCTAACGATCCCTTTTGTTTTTCTTTCCCTTTGCTTCCTTTTTTTTCTTTTATTTCTTCTCTTAATGAAAGATTTTTATTTTCATCCTCTTTTGTCCACTTTTCTCAATTTTATTTATAGTAATTGATCTCTTTTCTCTTGATCTTCAGCTTTCCTTCCTTGTTCTTGTTCGTCTTGACGTTTTCCTCTTGCTCTTCCAGTTCCTGTCTTTGATGATCTTCTTCTTCTTCATCTTGTTAAGGCTGATTTACACGACACGATTGTCTCGTGCGATTTGTAGTATACGATTTGAATCGCGCAGTGTAAATGCCCCTACGACTTGTCTACAACAGTCGTACGCAACCTACGACTTGTAGTAGGATTTTGAACTACTGCTTAAAATCCTACGACTTGTAGTAGGAAAATCGTATACTACAAGTCGCGCGCGACAAATCGTACCGTGTAAATCAGCCTTTAGT